CCACCTGGGTGATCTTGATGCAGCTCCTGCCCTCCTGGGGCTCCCATTCTAGAAACCAAAAAAGAATTAAAAGCAAACAAACACATTTACTCAGTGGTGGCACATGCTGGAGAGAGGAAGGAAAGTAGAGAGAGATTCTCTGATTGTTAAAGAAACTAGTTCCTTGCACTAACAGCTGTCATGTCTTTTTTTTCAGTTTGTCATTTGCCTTCTAGCTACTTTCAGTGACATCTATGCATTTTGGTCAGTGCAGAAATATTTTTATGCAGTCAAATTTATGAATCTTTCCCTTTATGGTTTTCATGCTTGAAAAGCTTTTTTCCTTCCCTGTGTCATCACAGCATGTGTGCAGGTTTTCCTCTAGTGTCTCATGAATTGACTTATTTCGCTTAGGTTTTTAATCCATCTGGAACTGTTTTCAGCGTAGAGAGCAAGGAAAGGATCCAGCTAAATTGCTGAGCCAGTTGGCCCATGACCACTCATTAAATAATCCATTTTCCCCTTGAGGATTTAAAATGGTGTCTATGACAGCTGGGCATGGTGTTGCATGCCTGTAATCCTAGCGCTCAGGAGGCTGAAGCAGGAGGATCACTGTGAGTTCGAGGCCAGTCCGAACTACACAGCAAGACCCTGTCTCAAAATATCAATCAATAAATGGCATCTATGAAATATTTTCTCTTGTGTATTTAGGACTGCTTTTGCGCTGTCTGTCCTTAGCAGCCACATCAGCCATCTACATCATGATAGCTATTTGTTTATTTTGCAGTACCGGGGATTAAACCCAGTGCTTTCACACTGAGCTTTATCCCAGCCTGCCTTTCTCTCTCTCTCTCTTTCTTTCTTTCTTTCTTTCTTTCTTTCTTTGGGGGGGAGCTCAGCCCACCAGGGGGCAGGGCTGCCTGGCATGTGGTGCTGGGGGATTGAACTGCAGTCCCTGATGCTTTAGCTAAGCTTGTTCTAAGTAGGTGCTTTAGACCACTGAACCATCTCACCAGCCCCCCTTTATTTATTGTACTTTTTTTTTTTTTTATTTTGAGACAGGGTCTTCCTAAGTAGATAAATTGCCCAGGCTGGACTCACACTTGTGACTGTCCTGCCTCAGCCTCCCAGAGTGTTTGACTTACAGGTGGCTGCCACCATGCCCAGCTGTGTATTTGTTTTCGATATTAGGCCAAGTTGACACTTTGGACACATTCACTTTCCTGGGCCTCAGTTTCCTCTATAAAAATATTTGGGTTGAAATCTTATGGGAAGAAAGCGCATGCCGGGCAGAGGGAAGAACACAGGCACAGCCCCAAGGCAGGGCCTTAGTGTGCCCCGGTGTCCATCGGAGGAAGGGCGGCGTTTCTAGAGGGGACAGCCTGAGGAGAGTGGAATGGCTGCCCAAGGCGAGTGGTTCGGTTGTCATCTTGAGGGCACCAGAGAGTTACAGCATGGTCAGGAGGGAAGGTGGTGCCCGCTGGCCCGCTGACCCCGCCCCTGTTCCCACAGTCAATGGAGTCCCAGGTGGAGGAGTGGTACCGCGAGGTGGGAGAGTTGCAGGCGCAGACGGCGGCGCTGCCGCTGGAGCCGGCGAGCAAGGAGCTGGTGGGCGAGCGGCAGAACGCGGTGGGCGAGCGCCTGGTGCGCCTGCTCGAGCCGCTGCAGGAGCGCCGCCGCCTGCTGCTAGCCTCCAAGGAGCTGCACCAGGTGGCGCACGACCTGGACGACGAGCTGGTGAGGCGCGCGGGGGCGCTGGGGCGGGGCTGGGACGGCGGGGGCGGGGCTAGGATAACCAGGGGTGGGCGGGACAGACGGTGAAGGGGTTGGAAGGGTCGCTCAATCTTTCCCTTTGTCTTCAATCTCCTATATGCATTTACTCCTTTTTTAATTTTCTTTCTTTTTTTAAAATTCAGGAATCAGAGATTGAGTCTAGGTTCTTTGCACTGAACTACAGCCCTAGCCCCACACACCCACATTTGTTTTTGACACGGGATCTCCTTAGGTTGCCTAATTGTCCAGTCTGGGCTCAAACACACATTCCTCCTGCCTCAGCCTCTCTTACAAGCCTCTGCTCATTTACGCCGGCCTCATTTATTTACTGCCGATCGCTCATTGATGAGGTGACTTCGCTCACCTCCTGATTTGCTCATTCTTTCATCCACTCCCTCACTGGTTCACTTTCCCAGTTGTTCTGGGTCCCACTCTGTGCTTGGATGATACTGGGAGCCACAAGTGACCAAAGCAGACTGCTGCTGCTGCTGCCCCCAGAGGGGCAGCAACCAAAGGGGGAAGCAGATCTGTCCCAGTCAGTGACAACCCTGGGAGGTCAGCACCATGGTGGTGCGCTGAGGGGCCTTAGCGGTCCAGAGAGGTTATCTGAGCCAAGACCAGAGGAACAATACAAATGAGAGAGAGGGGGAAGGGAATTCCCAGAACCTGGACCTCCATGTGCCTAAGCCTGCCCCCAAAGCAAAAGGGAAACAGAGCCCGTCCATAGAGGAGACTAGAGATGGGTCTGTGTGGGCCCTTAGGAAGGGTACCAGATGCCCTGTGAAGGGCCTGAAGGTTAGCTGGGATGCAGTGGTCCTTGGGTGCATTCTCCCCTTGACCTGATCCCTGGCTTCTCTCAGGCATGGGTTCAGGAGCGGCTGCCACTGGCCATGCAGACAGAGCGAGGCAGCAGTTTGCAGGCTGTCCAGCAGCATATCAAGAAGAACCAGGTGAGTTGAGCCAGGGTGGGAGCCAGAGGGGGATGTGTTTGGATACAAGCACTAGAAAACAATGGCGAAAGTGGTTAAAAGCATGCGAGGAATCCATTGGCTCTTGTCATTGAAAAGATTATGGACAGCAGATAGATATATCCAGGTGCTTTAGATATTCCATGACTCTCTTGATCTCTTGATGTGTGTGTGTGTGTGTGTGTGTGTGTGTGTGTGTGTGTGTGTGTGTGGTTCATTCTCCAACAGATTCAGGTTTGCATCCTTCCAACAAAGCCAAAGAGAATGTCTCACTCAGAAATTTCGACAGTAGTCCCAGGAGTAGTGCTTAGTGCCTGGCTGGAGTCACATTCTCAGTGCTGAGCTAATCATAATGCCCAGGGCTTTGGACTGTTCTTAGCCTGGCGGGGGGTTGGGGCCTCCCCTGGGACTTCTGCTGGACTTGCTGGGGACATAATTGCCTGCGCTGAGACAGAGGCAAGGGCTCCCCAGAGGACAACCAGGGTCCTGAGACAGTGAATGCTATGGGACAACAGAAAGAACAACAAACAAAACATCAAAGCACCCTTAGGGCCTATAGTGCCAACTACTTGGGAGGTGGAAGCAGGAGGACTACAAATCTGAGGCCAATGTGGAGAATTTAAAACAATCAAAAAGGACTGGCCAAATAGCTCAGTGGATTAAAGTGCCTGCAAGCAGGCACAGGGGCCTGGGGTTCAATCCCCAGGCCTGCGGTCTGGCCCACACGCCCCCCCAGGGCCCACTGAGGCGGCAATTGAGACTGGGCATGGTGGTGCTTGCCTGTAATCCCAGCTCTTGGGAGGCTGTAAACAGGTGGATCACTATGAGTCTGATTTAGTAGTGAGACCCTGAACACCCTGTAGACCCTTCCCT